TTGAAATATATTTCAATAATGCTTTCTTATGATAAAGGGAAAAATGGACTCAAAATTGCTACTTTTAAAAATAAAGCCATAAGTAACTTGTGAAGAATAAAACAATATTGTTTTATAGACCATGGTGTCTAATACAGTTATATGCCAAAATATTTCATAATGCTGAGATAAGTTAGATATTTAAATATGGTAAAAGTTATGATTATAATAAAGCTTTAAGAAAGCTCAAATGAAGCTCATAGAGGAAATATTAATTTGTAAAGAGTTGCATTCCACATAAACACTTAGGTTTTCAAAATTTAAAACATTAAAAAGTTAGTTTTTAAAAATAATAATAATACACTGCTTTCTAGGGTAAATATTCCAAAAGCCCAATGTTTAAGGTGACCATGAAGAAAAAAAGAAAGAATCCTTTATTTAACACTGAAAAAGAATCTGTGCTGTTTTGCCTGACAAAATAATACTAACGGCATACTCATATTTCCTTTTAAGACTAAAATTATGTGTCAATATAAGTTTGATTTTATATGAAAATTCAGAAGCACAGGTTTGATCAGTTTGAAATAAAGTTGCAACTAGATTTATACTGAATGTAGCTTTTAATTTTAATTTGTTATTTTAAAATTATACTATTACATTAAAGCATATAAAAATTGTAGCCAGAACTACAGCTTCAAATCATCTTAGTTAATTGGCAACTATGATAGAGCATGAAGCATCACTCTTTCTCAGTAGTTTCATTTTAGGCAAATCATCCTCAGATATAAAAATAGCAAATTATATTAAGTTTTATGCAAGGCACTTTCAGCTTCTTATACAGGAAGAGCTATAAGCAGCTTCTATAACACATACCAAAGCAAACAGCTTTGTATAAACTCTGGCAAGCTACCATTCATAGAAATATAAGATACAGCCTACATCAACTTAATGCTTAAAATATAAAACAAGTAGGAAGTTTGAGGTTCAAACAAACAAAAAAATGCCCAAGAAACATCAGTGGTAAAATAAAAAAATAAAGTGTTTTGATATTTCTCCTAGTTCTGACTATTTAATGTTTGCCACAAAATGCTATTTCTGAAACTCTGATTATACAATGACTACTTCTTTCATATTTTCCAAATGGAAGTAAGGATGATAGTTTAGCAGTAACTAAAAACCAAATAAACAAACAACACCCGTTGTTGTCAACTCTAACTCATAGCAACCCTACTGGGCAGAGTAAAACTACCCAATAGGGATTCTAAGGCAGCTCTGATCCTTTAAAATAACAATGGTTATATGGTTATATGATATATATGTGTTGAACATGGCTTTAACTACACATTTCTTAACATTTAATACTCTTAGCATATTAATATTGATTGGCAGATTGACTTCATAGTTTCAGTCAGAAAGCTTGTTAGTAGAGGAAGTTTTTAAAAGTTTGATCCATCCCTTTCTTTACATAATTTACTTCCAAAAGAGGAAAACGATCCTTCAAATAGTAAATTCTGTCTTGTCAGATATATATTGTATATTCTACAAAAAAAAAAAAAAAAAAAGATATTATACTAGCTCTGGAAAGAGTTATGGAAAATGAAGAATTCCACTGTTACTATTTGAAAGTCAGTACATACACTGTAGAATATCTTTTCTTTTCCTTAAATATAGCCATATGTGCCACAAAAGAGAAATATATATATATATATATATATACATACACACACACACATATATATGAAATAAATCTAAATTCTTAATTTAAAAAAATTTTTAATATCTCAAATTATTGCTCAAAGAACTTGTAAAAATATGTCAACACTATCACTATGTAAAGTAACACAAAATAATATATGGATCTTCAAGACTCATTGCTTACCATTAGAAGGGCTTTATCCCCCCTCTTTGGGGAAAGAAGTTACTAAGGATAGTGAATACAATTGGCAAAAAAAAAAAAAAAAAAATCACCTTTTTTTCTAGCTATAAAGAGAAATGATCTGGCCCAGGATAACAACCATAACCAATAATTTACTTGTAGAGGTAAACTACTCTTTTTCTTTTTCCATATTCTTACTTAGGTACCTAGTGATTTAGAGGCAGAAATACAAACCTTTAAGTTATTTATGATCTGTTTGGTGCCTTGAAGAAATTAAATACTTTTCAAAGACTAAACACAAAACCAAACCACATTTTAATAGAATTTAAATGAGTAAGAAATAGCTGGGAAAAGTACAAAAGGAAATCTGCTGATCTAAAAGAAAAATTATTTTCAAAGTTCTAGAAAATAGCCACAGAAGGCTGCTTAGTCACTGATCATATCATAAATTCTGGGTGATTAAAGAAACAATTAGATAGTAACAATTTTAGTAACAGTGTTAAAGGAACCTCTCTTTTTCCCTTAGTCTATTGCCTAAAATTATGCCTCTTGTATGGTAGGTATTAAATAAACATTTGAATGATTATATATATTTAGAGAAATTAATTTATAAATGAAATTTGTTTAACTGTATTTATCTATTTAACATACAGAGTCAGACTATTTTAATACGCCAGAGACATATGCCATTGAATTGCAACACAACTTCATTGAAATAGATGCTTTCCATATAAAACTAAATACACATCTGAGGCATAATCTATAAAACACAGTGCCTTTACACACATTCTCCATTTTATTTCTGTAATTTTTAAGTGTTGATGAATTAGTAGTTGCCAAAGAAGTCATGTGATATATAACAGACCTTCAGTTTATATAAGGGATGAAGCTCACTATTAACAATTCAGTTTGAAATGTTAACAGTCCTTGGGCTGTTAACATAACAACTGGCCATTAATGTGGTAATGACCAATTTAAGAGAAAATGGTGTTCTGATAAATGAATATATTGGCAATCAGGATCACGTTTCATATTTGAAAGAGTATGATTACATTTTTTAACTAAAATAAGCTAACATTAAAATTGTAAGCCTATCAGAAATTAAAAGTTCTATCAAGAAAGCAACATATAAACTCTTTTAGAGACAGATAGGATTTCTGATATGAAAACTATTTTGATAGATTCCCTTCAACAGAACACTCAGTTGAAACTATCAAATACCAGTGTAACATCATATTTTTATTATCATAAGTAAGAATAAAACAAACCAAATCAAAGGTTGCCTGCTTTGGCTTGCTACTACATTGAAACTACAAAGCAGTTTTACTCACAACATAGTTATTTCCTTGGCAAATTTATATTTTTAACTAACTGAAATATTTCAAGAGACTTTAAGTTTCACTTAATTGTTTTCTTTATTGCTGGTTAGAACACCTTAATCTTGCTCAGACTATGTAAACTTTTTGATTAGAATTGCTTTAACATAAATCCACTTGAGACACTGAAATTATGAATAAATGTAAAAGTCAAAAATGAGTAATAAAAAAAACCCTGACTATTGCTTAGTACAGATAAAGCAAAACTAGGTAAGCAATGTAAAATCATTAACAGCAAACAGAAATGGTTTATGGGGAATGAGGCTCTAACTCAGTGAGCTGTGGAGAAATTTTTATTGCAAAGAGAATAGTTTAAAGACTAACAAGTTCTAAAAAGAATCCATGCAATATGTTAATTATGATTCGATGGGCCTCCACAATGAGGGATTTCCTACCTATACAGTCACTCCCCATTGTTGGCACCTTCCATATATTTTGTGCACTTGGAGGCCAAAGAAGTAGTAACAAGTGGTAATAATTAGTCAGGAGGCTGACAGATGAGGCAGTTCCAAGAGGAGCAAAAAGTAGCATCTAATAAAAAGTATTTAATTTACTCTCATAACTACCATTAATTAAAAGACACATTTTTGTATATAAATATTGAATCTGACTGCAAATAACTGAATTACATACTGAAAAGCATCAAGTTCCCTTAAAACCCCTCCAAAATGGCCAAGATGGTTAAGGAATCACTGCTAATTGATAAATTTTGTTTCATAGGTGGAAAAATTCAAAATAAACCACCTACTGTCAGACTAGAAAAATGATTAATTGTATCAAATATGAAAATCCAAATGATGCCATATATCATTTCTCTAATTTGATAGATCCCGCTTTTTTTAATAAAGCAATTTGCAGCTGAATCAAGTCTCAAAGTTCCTGGAAAATCACAATGATTTTTCCTAAATAGCAGTTGTATGTTGAGTATTAAATGTTGGCTAACATGAGAGGACTTAAGTTTAGTTCCCTGACACTTTACCTCACTTCATGGCTTCATAGCCATTTCTTCCCTGTCTTGAAATGTTCGCCCATTTACATATTAGAAAGCAGCTATCATTTCTCAGTGAGGGTAGTGGCCCATACTTTGTTATTTTCCATAAAGCTACTAGCACATTAAGGCTTTTCAGGGCTCAGTGATGCCTTTGTGATGGCCATTTGAAATATCATGAGGGGGGAAATGCATTCACACTTAGGGAAAATTTTAAAAACTATACAATGAATATGCTAATAAATATCAGTTGACATCTAAACTTTCTTGGATAAATCTTCATAAGAAAGATAACTGATTAACTTTAGAGGACTATAGACATGACGAAGAGGCAACAGTTAAATTATTTTACTTGGCTTATTTGTCAAACTGAACTTTTAAAAACGGAGTTAAGTTGTTGAGCCAAGTAACTGACCTATTTCTTTTTTATTGTCCTCAGCTCGCCTGACCTAGTACGCTGTAACAAAAAGCTAGTATGATGATTTCTATCAAATACATCCATGACATAAACTGGCAGTTTCAATACAGGCAGTGGAATAACCTATTCTTAAATATGAGCACCCAAGTATACCAAATTGGAACACTTTAGATATGGTATTTTGGGGACCATTCCTTAAGCAGTAAGTTGAGTAACATATACTGGGCAGCATTTTGAAGGCTGACAGGTCAACATCTTTCAGGGAAATAAGCTGGTGGTAAGGAAATAAAACAAACAAAAATACACTTACAAAATATTTAAAAAGGAAGCCAGTCATCACTGGTGTGCAAGGATAATTCCTACCTCAGATAGTCTCTGCGACAAAGGATAAGATTAGCTTTAGTGTACAGGGTGGAGCCCACCTCTCCCAAGCGACAGTCGCAGCAGGCACACTTCAGACAGTCTTCATGCCAGTATTTGTCCAGTGCCTTTAGAAGATACCGGTCCTTGATCTTTCGGTTGCAGCCAGCACAACCTTTCGGCTTGGTGTCTGGCTGGACTGAGAGCATTTGTATACCTGAAAGAAGACAAAAAAAAAAGCAAAAAGAGAGCTGGGACGACAAGACAGAATAAAAAAGATGTCAAAAGGTCTCCAACAAGTTAAATATTTAATATTACCTTTTCTAAGACTATTAGTTTTTCTTTTTTAGTCCTGTATTGAAATCAAACTAAATTTTGGAAACCAAGAGCCTCCAACTTTCTAAAGTCCTTATTAAATCACTTACAAATGTCACAAGTATAAACTGGTGAAAATAATGAATTCATCTTATACCCAACAAGCTAGCTTTATATACACAGAATGAAATATTTTAAATAATTTTATTGTGTTCTTACTTCCCACACACAACATTTCCTTTAGGAAGAACATGTGAATAAGTAGCTAACAAATTTACAAGAAAGCTATTTAATAAACTAATCCATGTATAATCTATAGGAGTCAAAAATGAGTTTTTCATAACTAGTTAAAAATTTCATCAAACATGCATTTGATGGAGGGAGGAGAGTACACCCTAGATGGGATTGCATTAGTCTTACTTGGCAGAGAAATATTTACAGTTATGTATATAGTAAAGTCACCTGAAAAATTCACTAATCCTATTTTACTTGTTTGCGGTCAAACACTTCGTTCTAAGTCCTTAAAATTTTTAAATATTCATTATATTAAAATAAAAATATATTTATACTTATAAGTATCAGTGTTCTATCATTGGCACATTAGATAACTGTATACTGTGTGATTTTATATAAAACTGAAATGAAAGATTATATAACCATTACCATAAATATGCATTTATTTATTTTTGTAGCGGAATGAAGGAACAGAGGGCAAAGTCCATGTATATATATATATAAAATCTACAAACATATGTACATAAATACATACATGTATTATATACACACTATATGGACATAAAGATACTTATATAATTTAAAGATTATCTCCATCACAAATAAACAGTCTAGCTGGATTCTATTGGTCTTAAACTTGACTGAAATCTTTCCAGTGAAAGACTATTCATCTTTGAGCTTCTTATTTCCTAAGTATCAAACACTCAGCCTTGAAAAATGCTGGATTAACTCTTAAAAAGACTTCATATTTGTCAAATTATTTATTTTATAAATAATAAATATTTATAAAATACCAAACTTATCATCTATCCCAATTTCCCTCAGTTTATAAATTATGATACAGAGGCCCAAGACAGGTTAATGGAACTTGCTCAAAGCAGAAAGACAGGGCTTGAGACCAGGTGGCTTTCTCACATTCCAGAGACCTCTCTGCTATATTACGCTTCCTCTTCTAGGCATAAAGTTTTCAAATTGGACATGGAAGGGCACAAAATGCCAAATGTGCATGCACTTGAAACAGTTTCAAGAAAGAAAATGCCAAGCTATAATCGCCTGCATTTTCTGTGCATTTCCCTAGTCCATAACACCTGAACCTTCTTCAGTTTCCTCTGATGTCTCATGATGAATGCTTTACCCCCATTACCTTCAACAACCTTTAAAAAAAAAAAAATCACATGAATAAGAGACATCAAGGTACCCCTGCCCTAGCTGAATAACTTTTCTGGTTCCACATAATATATGAACTGCACATAATATTGTTATGGTGCTGAACATTCATTATAAGACAACTTGTCTGGTACAGTCCTGGAGTAGGAATAGCAGGGAATAAAGCATGGTGGCTGTTCTTTCTACATGATATGCATAACTGTAGTAGTCACTGGAGCTGCAGACTAGCAGCTGGATTTGTACAGAGGAGCAGGTGGTATTCCTATAGCTTTCTTTCTGTTCCTTTTCTCTGAAGGAGCTAAGGTCCAGTGTAGATTAATCATAACCCTTGATAGCTCTACTAAATCTCACTCTCTAGAACTTCCAACAAATGAAGTTTCTTTGATCAGAACTGGTTATCCACTTCTAGCAAGGTTCCACAAGGAATGAATCCCATTAATTACAGGACAGAACATATCCAAGTGCCACCTCTTAACCATATACCTGGGGGGAAGAGGAACGTTTTGATTCACTAAGTGACATTCTGGAGTGCATTCATATAAACATCCAAAGATATATTAAGATTAGCCATTTTATTCCTCTAATGTATAAAGTCAGGGCTGACTCGACGGCACATAACAACAACAACAACAACAACAACAATGTATAAAGACATTGTGTTTTAAATCCCATAGCTCAAAGATGAGAATAAAAAAATCCTTCTTCGCAGCAGCTAAGCTACATTCCCCATAGTTGTATTACTCTCATGAATCGTACAAGGTCAACTATCTTTATTCAACATGCTTTGCTACCAAGACAGTAGATACCAACATTTGGCACAAGTAACACTGCCTTGTTTGTCTTCACAAAAAAATGTTTTTGTTGTATTGACATTTTAATTTAACACTCAGAGGCCAATTAATATTTGAAACTCTTACATTCTGTTTGGCCCTGGGAATAAAAGGAGTTTGATGTTTCACATGCCATCCCTGTAACTTATTTTAAGAACATCATATTCTTCTTAAAAATGGAATCTTTCTAGTGATATTCAAGTTAACAGTTATTTAAAAAAAAAAAAAAACTATTTTGTAGGCAGCACATTGCCATGTACCTAAAAGGCATACAGCAGTCAGTGGCTTCTTCTCACCATCCAGAAGAACACGTCTGGGTAGAGTTACATGTTCGTAAGCTGAGAAACATTTCACAAGTTGCTCATAGCACATCAGGACTCATAACTAGTTTTAGATTGGCATGTAAATTGTTCTGAGGGAAATTCTTATTGCCTCTGAGACCTTGCCATTCTGAGTTATTTGACAGTTTAAGGGAAATCATAATTAAAAAAAAAGACATAAATAATAGCCTGTGCAGTGTGGTGTGCAGGAGTAAGTAGAACCATTTCATTGAAACTCTGGTGAGCTTTTAATTGCCTGGATTGCATTGTGAGGCGGCCTAACGGTTGATTGCCTCCATTATGTTCCCTTGTTCTGTGCCATTCATCCGCACAGTCTCAGCTTCAGTAGTTAACACAACAAAGTAACCACAACTCCACAACACACAGGGTTTTTAAATAATAATAATAATAATAATAAAAGATTTGCAGCACTTAGAAACACTCTTTTATATTTTGGGGCTAACTACACATAATGAATGGAAAACATTTGCCCCCTTGGAAGGTGCACAGAGAACAATTTGGGAGAAGGAACAGGAAGAGGGAATACATAAAAGGGACTGGCAGAGATGAGGTGCCTTAGGAAGATGCTAAAATGGGAATGCAGGTCCTGCAGCTGGGAGCAGTGACACAGATTAAAAGAATTTGGCCAACAGGGCCATTCGATTGCCAAGAGGTACCAAACAAAAGATTTTCTCTTCTCCTGCCCATCTTCATCCTCTCCCCAACCCCCAACCCCTATTAGAAAACTGGATTGGGCCTAAAAGCTTGTTTCTCTCTGTTCACTGGCCCAGAGCATCCCTACAGGCTGCAGCCCCCTAAGGGACAACAATGCAAATAGATGTCCCTAGATCTCAGGCATTGGAGCTGCTTAACTCTGTTCTGCCCCTTCAACTCCCAACCCCCCTCCCCATCATCCTTCCCTGCCCCCCCCCCCTCCTTTTTTTTGAGCAATGGAGCTGGGAACCAATTTGATTCCCTTTTTCTCCAATGCAGCTGCAAGGCTCAGAGATACTGACATTTTTCCACTCTTATCAGTTTAATTACAGTTACCATGGCAGCAAAGTGCTAGTGCTTGGCAAAGGCCAACAAGAGATTTGCAAGACTGAGTTCAATTTTGATGCAGCTCACATGCAAAATAAAAAAAAAAAAAAATAAGAAACATACATACACTCTAACAAAGAATCCCTTGCGGAGTTTATGCTCCAGCCTTTTGTAGTTGTGTCTTTACAGCCACACAGGGATGATTTGCAAAGCATGCAGCAGTATTTGTTGCACCTAGCAAGATTAATTGGTTTAAGCAGCAGTCTTTCAAAGCAGTTACAACAATAATATTTCAGATCTTTTAGAAAGACACAAAAGCGGAGGAAGAGCAGGAAGGCTTTTGAACAACTAAGAGTGCTGAGCGCCAGCAAAGTGCATCTATGATAGATTGTAACCTTACCAAAACTTTTCTCCTTTTTCTGCATGAGTTGACTTTGACGTGCCTGAGTTGCAGCAGCTTCTCATTGAGCACCAAGCCCAAAGGTAGAACTGGGAGGGGGTCTTCTTGGTTTGACTCACGTGCGGACCGGGTGCACAGCCTACACCGCCGAGCACCTACTATTGTGTAGCCACTTTGGGAGCGGGTCTTAGTGGCGGCGGGGGGTGGGGGAAGGGAAGAGGACGGCCAGACGAGACAAGGCGCGCACAAGGAGCCCCTCGCAGTGTGGCAGTGTGCAAAATGATGGCGAATGACAAAGCCACATGCTTCCCTAACTCTGCCCGTAATCCTAAAATCCCAGCGGCCCCTTTTAGCTTCATGGTAACAAATGGATTTGATTAAACTGTCACATGCAGCGTTAGCATAGCATATCATGTCCAATATGAAAAAGATCATAAATCTGACTTGTATTTCATAACAGCAATCTGGGTAGCCCCCAGATTGTGCTGCATCAGTTTGAATCTCAACCTATTAGGACAGTAGCTTCTCTACTCAGGCCACTTCTCCCGCAACCCCAAAACAGAGCCACTTTTTCATCTCCTAGAAATAATGTTTTGTTATTATGGCGGGGGGAGGGCAGTGAGGCGGAAGTGTCAAGGAGAACTAAAAGACTGTAATTTAAACACTTTTTGGGGTGGTAGTCATGAATCCCAACAAGGGGGGCGGGGAAGGTCCGGGAACCCACCCAGAGCTGAATTCCCTTCCTACGGGCCAGGAGCGAACATTTCCAAATCCGAACTCTCCAGCCCCTCTGTCCCCGGAGCCAGGGGTGTGGAAATGCGGCAGTTCCTCGTGAACTTTGACTATTATCCACTCGAGTCATACTTGAGACGTTCAGCGCCGCAGCCGCTCTCCCTTCTTTCATCAGTATCTTCCGCCTATATGTATTTCATGTCTCATCATAAAAATAATGAAGCCTCACATGATTTAACAAAACCGTCTCCGCAGAGCTGCAGCCTGAGTGAAAGTTGCAGTGCGGAGCTGGGTTGCAGCTCCCGTTTATGCCTCATTAGGAGAGGCTAGGGGAGGAAAAAAAATACCCACATCCGCACACGCACGCGCGCACCCGCAGACACACACACACCACAAATAAGCCGACGCGTGTGTTCACAGTTGCTGCACTTACCTTCTCAATTAAGCGATACAGGGGGAGGCTGTTCAGTAAGCACAGTGGCTGCTTTGTAGCGCTTCTCCTTGGGAAAGGTCAAAAAGAAGCATTGTTTGAAAAAAAAAAAAAAAGAAAGAAAAAGAAAGAAAAGAGGGGGAGGGAATCGCTATTTTTTAAGTTTAAAATAATGAGGTCCTGAAGGATCCGCCAAGTAACGATGTTGACCGCATCTGAGCCACAGGTGTCCTCTTTTTAGGCAACTGCAGTCCGAGGTTGTCTCTCTCCGTCCTGGCTGAAGACAACTTACCCCAGCAGCGTGCGAGGAACCGAGCTGAGGCAGCCCCGGCTCTCAGCTGCAAAATGCAATCCCTTCCCAGCCAGACATAAGACAGCCAAATAAAAGGTCACTCAGTTATTACTGAGCCGGCGGAGCCCAGGCAGCGCTTGTCAAGACCACAGAGAAGCAGCTCCCTTCCGATTTAAGACTATTTACCTCTCCCCCCCACCCCTCCCCTCTTCTCTCCTTTCCTTTTCTCCCTCCCTCTCTCGCTGCTCTCTCGCTCGCTCTGGTGTG